AAAAAAAACACAAAAAAAGCCATTCTTGAAGAAAACTGCAATTTAAACAAGAATTGTAGTTACAAGTAATACATATTCCTCCTTTTTCCCCTTCCTAGTCAAATAACTTTATTGTTTATACTTGTTTCAGAAACCTGCAAAGGTAACTACTTAATGGTAGGTTAAAAGTGCACGTAGGAAGGTTGTTCCACCACGTGTGAAACTCCCTGGTAAGTTTGTGCATACAGGGCTATTTTTTGAGTATCAAACAAGGTTTGGTTTTTGACACTAAAGTTCATGCTAAGTGTAAATTTGGTTTACCTTATTTAAAAAAAAAAAAAAGAAAAAAAGCCACAAAAAGCCACATGTTTTGGAAATATCAGTCTGTGGAATTTTCTGGGATGTTTTTCCTGACAGATTGACCAAGCTAAAAAGCATATGCTGTCCATAGCATTTTGGAGGTTAGTCTAATAAAAACCACAAAGTTTTCATCCTGCCCTACCCTTCCAGTGGATGTCACCATAATCCCCTTTGTGCAAAAGCCCCCACATTTATTTTGTGACTAAACAATACATTCAACATGGAAGACTGTTTCATGCATTCACAACTCATGTTACACTTGTGTCCTAATACACCAATCACACTCTGTATCAATATAAAACATCACCAAACATTACTATACAAAATTTTCTTTACTTATATTACTTGCCTTAACAACATGCCTTATTGAACCAATCACTGCAGGCTTTAGAGATTTGCATTCATTTTGTTCTTCAGAACTACCTGTACCCCAAATATCTGGGAGTTCCAGCTCTCCTTCTTCCATGGGAATAGAGGGACCTTCAAAATTTGGTTTCTCATAGAGTATCCAGCTTAAAATAAAAAATTCTCATTTTTAACGGTGCTTTATCAAGTGCGATTTGCAAAAATCATGCTCTCATTTAACAAATTCTTTCATAAGAACTCTTATTTCCAGACTCTTTCCGCCACCCCAATACAGTTTATTTGCGCAACACTGCTGACGCAAGCCATTTCTGGTCTCTGTGATACTTTTTAAAGCAATGATAAAAACAAAGATACCTACTGCTGACTTTGTAGGTTCATCAAAAACTCCTCCACCTTTTTAAATTGATGATTTAGGGCAGCAAGACTACTGTCTGTGAATACCAGAATTTTGCATGAGATACTAATCAGAGCCAATTTGTAGGTCAGAAAATGTTGACACTGCAGACTGCTGCATCATGTATAAACAGACAAGCTACTTGCATCCTGTGAACAGCAGCCTGGAGTTCCACAGGGGCTGGTATAGATGTACCAAAGGACAGTAAGACTGCTCAGAAGACAAGCACAACTTTATATTTAACAGCAGGTTTGAATATATAACTAGATAAAAACAATATCCATCTGCAAATACAAAACCCTCCCCTGCAGCTCTCAGTTGAAGGGGGGTAAAAAAACGAAAACCCTGTTCCCTACTCCATTCTGGAAGAGAAGACTTGGTTCACACAGATCGAAAGATCATTCCAGTTTTCTAAAGCTAAACAGCAATCAGTGTGCTTCCCAGTACCTCCTACTGCAGCTAGCCCTTGTTTCTGCAGCTTACTATCAGATCATTAGTTTTGAGAACCTGCTATTTGACTGTATTATAGCCTGGCCACAACTTAACTTGCCAGGCTATCCACACTAATAATGGCTGTTCTATTAATGCTACAAAGAAAGCAGGAGATGGAACTTGTTTTGAATTACTCTTAGGCAATCTGGCTTTTAGAGAAAAATTCCCTCTGGACTTATCACAGAAACAGTCAATTATCTCTACAGCACCACTTTATATCTTTGGACATGGAATTTATCGTTTGCATCCAAACCCACGACAGACTTGGCTTTAAAATCCTTTGCTAGCCTTTGAGCCCAATCCAAATACTGTGCAAGAACCCACAAAGGAGAGAGGAGTCAAAGGGCAGCATCGCCAGACAGAATCTGTCATTTCATCCCATGCCTATGCCTGGTGAAATGTTGCACCCCTCCAGATGGTAAGACTGAATTTGTCAGCAAAATAAGCTTCCCAGCCCACAACTTCCTACTGCAGAGGTAAAATGCCACATTTCTTGCTCATAGGTGTCTATGTTACATTGCCATTTGCAAGGCAGACTTACTGTGATTTACATGCTGGTTCTGTTTCAAAAGATTTTTGGATAGACCAATGATAAAGAATAAAAATTAATCTCTTACCATCCTCTGACGACTTTCACTAAAATTGTTGGTGATAGAACCCAAGAACTGCAATCCAGAACATCATGGAAAACTTCAATACCATTTTTTTGATAGTTTGAATCACAGTATATCACCAGCTGTGTTCAAATAAAAAACCAAAACCAAACATCAACAACATATAATTCTATCTAGCTATGCTTTAAATATAGAGAAAGGAACAGTAAGATAATAAAATTGATCTTACCTTGCCAGGTCTGGGATTGATTTTACTTTGCCCATTTCTTGAAAGTGCCTAACGGACAGTGGGGAGAGAAAAGTCACAAAAAAAAAACCCCCACACCAAAAAAACAAACAAAAAATATATTCAATAAAGATGCCCAGCTATAAAGTAAGAGCTAGTAAAAAAAATAAAAATTAGTCTGAATAGCAAAAAGCTGGTAACACTTCAACTACACCTACTTACTGCCTTCAATTCCTTTGTCCTCCTGAAGAGCAATATCTTGCCACAAATGTACAAACTTGCACACTTTTTTTTTTTTCCAAACTCTGAATTATTGTCTCACTGAAGCCAACTAATCTCAGACTTGAAATGCTTTAAAATCCTTCTGATCAGCTTCCTACAAATTCCAGGATTTTCATGCCAACAGACTACTCAAAAAAACTGGCCTTGATAAAGTATATGCTCTACAATGATAAAGATATTAATGAAAGTTTAAACATCTGGTAACCATAAAGCACGAAGTAATTTTGAAGGAATATATGAAAAGACTGAAGAGGACTGATGGCATACACATGTATGAACTAACTAGCATAATCAATTTTGTGCTGAACACCTTGTAACAAGACAGTTTTCTTCAAAAAGTATGAGACGTGCAGTGATAGACTAAAAATGCCAAAAAAAAAAAAAAACCTATTGAGGTATACAAAGTCTAAAACAACGCTGAAGTCAGTGGTAAATTATACGATATAGAATATATGGGAAAGCTGTCGTTGCATCACGTCATCTTAAAACAAATAATGAAGCGTTGCAATTATGTGTGTGGCTTCCTAGCCAGGACAGGAGTGCTCATTCTGGGACAGGGTCCTGCTTTTCTTGGAACTATTCATACAAACAAAAAAACCCCAAACAGATCCTGCCCCCAAACAGGTTGCAGCCTAAGATAACCAGCAACATGTGCAAGGAACTAACGAGAACATATTTGACAGCACTCAGGGCAGTGGTCTCAGGACAGAGTTCCTTAACCACCATCAGATTTTTGTAGGCATCATCAAGACAGGCTGAAGCATGACTGGTTTTTTTAGCCTGTGCTTCAATTCCAGTTAGAACTTGCCCTGTGTTTTAAGGAATGCCAAAGTCATTGTTTAGGGCTGCCCTTACTCTTTTCCTTCACATTATCCACTAGCCATTGCATCATCATTTTCTTAGTGGAAGATGCACAGTAGGTACACATCATACAAACATTTTCAGTTCCTGTCTAACTTCAGCAAGACAATTTGGAGTCAGCAACAGTGCTGCAGAAGTCCTGGAACCCTTCGGAGCTTAACGGTCTTCTCTCATGTGTGTACATACCCCCTTGCCATATCAGGCCTTCACACTCTACTGAAAAATTGAAACCCACTCAGGAACAACAATTTAAGTACGAAAAAAAAAATCAGTACTAGTCATCTAGCTTTAAACTCAGGTTTTGAAATCCAAAGAGGACCATCTAGAGTAAGAAAGCCTTTTCAACTGGCAGCATAAGTCTATACCACTGCAAATAATCCCCCTAATTTTCACCCCCACACTAACTGAAAAAATTCCCATGAGAGAAAAATCTATGTCCTCAAAATTGCAAGGTACCATGGATGATTTCCTTCTGCAAGATGAAGGAGTTATTTCTACTACTTCCTACTTCCACTCCTTTTAGTAGGACAGTAACAGCAGATAACCATTAGCTTTGGAAAAGTATTTCTCAAATTTCTTATAAGCTGCTTCAATTCCACAGGTCACATTAGTGTGGCTGTTAAACTTTGGAGAACATAGTTCTTCCCATGGTTCTTAGATCTCCCAGTTACAGTTTTCCTCTCGGTAACAGTAAGGGCCCAAGTCAACAGAAATAGCACATACTATAGGAAATTGGTTCATCATTTTGAAAGCAGAAATTACAAAGTTCTCCCACATTAGGGTAAAGTTGCCTCGAAGGGAAAACGTAGGTATGGCTCAACTCATGATGAATAGATGCTCATCACCAGACAAAGGAACAGCCCTCCATGCTAGCATGACTTTCAATAATCACTACCGTCCAGTTCTTAAAGTATCTATTTTTCTATCAAGTGCATGGGAATACTGGGAACAAAACCAGAGGGCTAACAAAAAAAAGGTTGCCCTGTTACTCAGTTAACAGTGCAATGCCTGAATGTCTTGCTGGAAGAGGAGAGAGAGTACTGTCAGCAGAAGCAGCAGGCACAAGTTTTCTGAAGTTCACAGAAAGCATTCTACCAATTTACAATAAAAAAATGAAGTTAGCATGAGAGTTATTTCAAAATAAGACAAAATGAAATATGAAGACACATTCAAACATACACTTTCAACTCTTATTTGTGAAGAGTCTCAAAATAAGGGCACCATGAAGAAATATAATGATGTTAATAGATGCCATCTCATTTTCAAGTGCAGTCAACATCAGATTAAACTGGTACCATACCTATGTTCACCTCTATGTATCTGTAATCTATGTATGTCCTCAGAGAGGAAACAACGCAATACTTACATCCACATCTAATAAACCAGTGGGGATATTTGATTCATATCTGCTTGCCCCTAACCAGCTGGAAAAACTTTTTTCAGGGTTCCCATAGTTGGGCATTTGTAAACTTAGTTCTTTTTTTGCACTATCTGCTTGCATGTACTTCTCCATGAAACTTGGAAACTTCGTATCTGAAAGAGACTGAATTGCAAAATCAAAATTAACAGTCATTCAGCAGGTAGACAAAATTTTACATGGTTGCATTTCATGAATGATCTTTATTACCTCCGATTTTTGAGATGCGCTGAATGGCCCAGAAGCATCCTGTTGTAAAGAAGGCAACCCTGAGGAGTCAGTTGTACAAGTTGTTGAGGTGTTATTTACTGAGGTCACAGAAGGATTAAAAAACTTTTCTTTAGATGTAGAAGACAGCAAGCTTGAGAAGAGGGAGCTTTTTTCAAGCCGGGATCTCTTAATTTCACCATCGGTACCATCAATGTTCTCTTTTCCATTTATTTCGTGAGTAAAGGCAGGTTCCTCTTTATTACATGATTGCAGGGCTTTGAATATGATACTTTGTTCGGTTGAGGCACGCTTGGGCCTGACTCTGGCTATCGTTTCTAGGCTTTGCATTTTAATTTGTTGGGCCGGTAACAGATCCTGTGTTTTTTCCCTTCTCAGTCCCAAACCAAAAGTAAACACACTAGGATCAAATACTTTCTCTAAGTTGTCTTCATGAATGGGAGGCATTGCAAAGTGGGGTGCTGGGGACTTGGGAAGCTTTGACCTCTTCTTTTTCTGAGGTAAACAAATCGAGCTGTCTAAGTTTTTTATTGTTTCAGCAAACTTCTCCATGTCAGATGGGGAATCAAAAACGCTATCATCTTCAGCAGATCCATTACAGGTTCTGCCTGGGCTCTTTGGTGTATTGGTGTTGTGTTCTGATATCAATATGCTGTCTTGACTGCTGTCATCATACTGCAGTGCTGCAAAGCTCAAATCTCCTGGCTTTGCCTTTTTATCTCCATTTTCCATCTTAAATTCTGATCTAGAAACCTGATGAGATGCTGGAGGACATTTATCATCATCACAAGGTGATAAAACCTCTGTGTTTGGCAGTATCTCTTCTTCATTTCTGTGGAATTCTGAGCTTGTGTTATTTCTTTGGTAGGAATTATCTTGAGCATTTTCACTTTTACTGGGCGAGTGTAAGGGCAGTTTCAAAGGTGAACTTTCTTTTTTAGCTGTGACTAATTCTGGATCAGGTTGCTTCAGAGAAACACTACCAGCATCAGTTTTGCTACTTTGGTTAAAAAGGGATATTGCAGCTTTTACTTTAAGTTCTGTTGTCTTCCCAATATCCTCATAAGAGGCAGAGCTTTCTCCATTTTTGTCTTTTAATTCTGCAGTGCTTTCTTTCTCTGGTGTGCCGTTCTCAAACAACTTCTGGCGACTGCTTTGCTTATTTAATGTTTTATCAGGCTGTTCGCTTTCCTTAGGTTGTTTTCCAAATTTCAGCTTTGCTCTGCCAACAAATGTGTTTGGTACAGTACTATTTTTTGAAGCAGAGATGTCAGCAGGCCTCTGGCTCTGGTTAGCGCATTTATTTTCAAACAAGGAAATTTTGTTGGCAATGTTGCTGTTAGTTTTATTAACTGGTTTTTCCAGAGTATCCTGCTCACTTTCTAAACCGTCTTGATTCGTAGGTGCTTTAAAATTCAGCTCTACATTCTTCGGTTTGGCTGGACTACAGGAGGCAAAGTGATACAGAGTTACATCTTTGATTAATCTTGAAAAGACTTGAAACAGTTTTCAACACACTAAAATGTAGCACTATAATGAAATTTTCCACAGTCACATTCAGTTTAACTTTTGGTATCTCAAAAAGAATTAACTAAAAAAGGAGTAACTATGTGAACAACAAAAAAAATTAGATACTAAATAAGGAGAATACATTTCAAACATGTACGCAGCTCTTTAATGCTCAGTAAAAAATACACAGCAGCCGACAGCATCTGCAATTGAGGCAGAGAACTTAACTACTTATGACTGACAGACATTAAAATTTAATAATGAACAGGCAGAATAAATTACACGCATGCAATTCCCTACAGAGTTTAGGAAACAAATCCCAATTCATTAAGGTGATAATAAGTTGGTTAACATTTGAATGTACCTCTCCAACAAGTTTTGAAGACAGCTGGCCAGATTCTTTGCAGAAGCAAGCTTAAAACAAGTGAAAGACCTCTTCTGGCCTCATTACTGCTGGTGGAAAAGGTAACTGTCCCCACTCACTGCATCACCACTTGGCTAAGCGAACACCACGTGCGAGGACTCTCCCATTTCCTTCAGGTAAAGTCAGCTAACAATTTAAATTGTGTAAACTAACCCTGCTAATTTTACAAGAATTGAATTAGGAAACACTTATAGAAACTTCTCCATCAGAGCGGATAGAAAAGCACATACAAGTACGTAGTAGTATGTGCTGAGGGTTTTAAGCCTCCTTCCTTTGAATACCTATATCCAGGAAAAGTAATTTGTCCATGTCACTTGCTACTGCAGGAACAGTACGAACAGCTGTAAAGATGCAGGGCACGTGTCTTCCAAATTCATCAGTCAGATAAAACGAGTGTCAAGGAGCCCACCATCACCTCAAAGTAAGACCTGTTCTCCAAAGAGGAAACCGGAGATCCTCAGCGGTGGGAGAACAGGCAGAAACTGCACTACATGAAAACTGACGACGGTGGGAGATAAAAGAAACTCGCCTGCAGCAACAATCTCCAGGGCCTCAAACACTCTATCAGTCAATGGATGATTCCAACCTTTAAATGCTTTCTTCATTTTTACTTACACAAACTGCATTCACTGAGCTCTCAGACAGCTCTTTAGCCCAAGAAAGAAGCGCGAGGTACAAGTGAGTTAACATGATCAACCCACAAACCGAGATCACTCCTTTCTCCTCTTCTTCAAGAGATCCATCCCAAGTAAGAAAATAAACCTTACTAAAGCAAGACTCTCCATTGTCCAAGCTCCTTTTCTTGGGGAAAGCATGAGGAACAAAGTTACTGAAATAACAGAAGGAACCCAAACTCGGCTGCCTAAGAATCTACACAACTGTTAAAAATCAACATGTCTTTTCAAAGAAGACTTCCTGACAGCGCTCACTGTAACTACCAGCCTGCTCACGTTGGTTCACAACTGGAAGGTTCTTAGGAAGAACACGTGATCAATGAAAAGGGAAATGGTAAACTTAAAAATGACTGGCCATACTTCAGATAGGTGCTAGTAAAACACACTTGGAAAACTTCAGTCTAGAAACCCAAAAAAATTATTTCTGAAAGGGGGAAGGCAGGGAGGGAACTATCACACCATATAAAATTAAATTTACTTAGACACTACTTTTCATTTGCAATACGACTGTTTTTCCTAAACTTTTCGAAGTTAAATTGTTCTATAATTTTCCTTTTTGGAAAGTGAATGTAAGTTGCAAGGGACCTCTGAAGGTCAGCTAGTCCAACTTCCCACTCAGAATAGGGACAGCTTCAAAGTTAGACCAAGTTCCTGAAGGCTTTGTCTGACCAAGTTCGGAGAATCTCCAAGGGGTGAGATTTCAGAGCCTTACTAGAGAAGCACTGCAGCAGGTCAGCCACTGCCACTGTGAAATATTTTTCCCTTATACGCCATTGAAACTTCACTGTTGCAATTTGCAACCATGTCATTGTCCCTTCGTTGCACACCTCAGGGATGAATCTGCCTCTGCCTTCTCCATAATACCTCTATAGGTAGTGAGAGATGATTGAGGTTTACCCATATCCTTCTCTTCTCTCAGTTGAACAAATCAAGCTACTTCCGCTTCGACTCAGATACGGTATGCTTCAGTGCCACCACCTTCTTAATGGCTCACCACTGAACTCACTCCAATTTGTGAACCTCTCTCTTGCACCAGAAGACAGCTGGAAGAGGAGGGAAGGTCACAACTCAATATAATGCCCCAGATGCAGCGTCATGAGCACCAAGTATCTTCTCCTTTGACCTGTTGGCTCTGCTCCTGCCAGTGTAGTCCAGTACAGGCTTAGTCTTCATCCGCTACAAGGATCCACTACTGATACACGCCGAATTTGCTGTTCACCAGGACCCTTCATGTCCTTTTCTGATCAGAAAAATGTACTTATCCTCTCCTCCTACCTGTATTTTCAAGAGGTATCACTAACAGCCTAATTATCTTAATAGACTCATTTCCACACCGTCCTTTTGTCAGCGTGTCACTTGCACTACTAAGTGCATTTCAACATAACACCACATATCTTCCCAATAAAATCCGTCTCTCCCTGTATGCCTTGACACAAGCAAGTTTCATGGTTAACGCTGATAATTATCAGCCACGCCTAAAACCCGTTGTAAATGAACAGCTAACACCTCAAAGGTATAGTTTCAAACTTTGCAAATTTATGCAGAAACAACCACTTCAGCACTTTGTATTTTACATTCTGCAGTTATTTCACCACAGCAGCAGAAACACAGCTGAGACTGAAGAGCAATAGAAAGCTCAGCCCTGGAGCTCCATCCACTGCAGCTGGGCTCCTCTAACTAATCTTTTCATTACACCTTTTTCCACACTAAGAAACACTGATTTTAAATACAGCCAAAAGCTGTGCTTTATTGCAAGAACTGAGTTTCTAAGCTTGTTTAAAAGGAGAAGATGTTGCTTAAGTATCCTTTAAGCCTCCCCTCTAGCATGGGGGAAAAGCATTGAAAGGTGGATTCCTCTAACAGTGCAAATGCTTTCTTACGAACAGCCCGGTGTGGCCGATCCCTACTACCCACTGCTGATCTGCAATGCCAGGAACAAGCAGCCACAAGAGAAATAGTGATGTCCTTCTCTTTGCCTACACTTTGCAGCTAACCTGTGGAAGCAAGTAGTTAAACCTCTCCCAATATAGTCATAAGTGGAAGGTGAGTCACAGAGCTAAAGCATCTGTCGAAACGACCGTGTCAAGCACCTAGCCGATGCCAGAAAATATTGACGCCAAAACATCAGATTGAGGTGAGCAAAGGAAAATGGCATGTTAACAGAGCAGAATAATTCAACAAGTGGGCAAAAATGCAAAGGCAACTACAAAACCATGTCTGAACATCAAATATGACAAATGAAGCCAAGTTTTCTGCTAAGCACATCAAAGTAACTACTGCCCGAGGTTTTATTTGCCGATTAAGACGTACCATCAACCTCAGTTTAGTCTCAAACCTGATAGGTTCCCCTTTCAAAAACTAGAAGCAGCGTATTCTGTGACTTCCAAGTTGCCCAGTACACAGACACAAAAGGAGAAAAGACAGAAAATGCTATCATTACTTACAGAGAACCAGCAAAACCGACTTTTTTTTTTAAATTGTTTCTAAAGAAACTTGATTCCCACAATTGGCACAATGTCATTAGTAAGAGACATGATGCATTTTTAAGTGAAAACTGCTTTGATTATACAAAATCCATCTTATAGGTGGTAAACAAGGCTGAGAGTAAATGAGTGTTTTTCAGCCTGAAAGGGATTCATGTGAAGTATCCCACAATAATTTTTTTAACCTTTGAAAACAGAAAGGTTATCTGTTCTCTGGTTCAAAACAGCAAGAAGAGAACAAAAACATCTTCTTCTAGTAACAGCACCATCTTTTCCTTTCCCATTTTACAGCCGCTTCATCCATATCCAGGTTTATAGTTCATGTGTTCTGATGTATGACTACAAATTATACCAGGTAATCTGACCGTATAAATTTGTCTGGCTAAAAAACCGCATAGTACGGTGCAATGACAGCTATCAGATGTATCAGGAACCTCGCATGCAACACGGCGGTCCCCACCCAGGGCTAAAGTTCCTACAGCAGCAGATAAGGCCAAGACACAGAGTGCTACACACCCCATAAAATCAGGTGAAATAGGACAGGCTGTTTATTCATTAAAATTAAATCTGTCAGAAAGGATACTTGTCTATTACTTTATGAGTAGAGCAGAAGATAATTGACTGTACTGCAAGCCAAGGAGATAGCTAGACAAATGAAATCCAGCTATGCAAGCATTTATTAGCATCATCGCTAACAACAGTGACATAAAGAGAAAAACATGAAAGCTACCTTTCCTTTGAAGTTGTGAAGATATAAAACTTCAGAGTTTAAGATTTGTGATCTACACTGCCAGACCGCAAACATCACCATGTACAAAAATACCACAATTTAACTTTCAGTACTACGCATTTTTAATTCAGTTACAAATGAACAAATCAGACCGAGAGTATTACAAATCGGGCAAAGGAAATTGTTCCTAACGCTCCTATGCTTCTCAGATGTGGGAAGCACAATTGGAAACATAGGTGTTTCTTACGCCATCGTGTCGAACCTTCACATCCCTTTAACACAACTGAACGACAATTCTGAACACTCAGCGTACCTCGGCTGGACCTATACGATTCAATGTACTCTGACACCTATAAATGAAATGTACCAGAACGAGGACAGCAATAGTGCATAGTACATAGCCATGACAATCAAACAACAGAAATGCCGAATGTAATAAAGTGATTAACTGTGGAAGAGAACATGATGGAATCCAGGAAATCAATCCCTGGACTCACACTAGTGATTACAGTTAAAGTTATAACTACATCTACTTCTTTATAATCCTAAGGAAAGCACTGATCACCTCTGTTCGACAAATGGCAACTTCTTTGAGTGTAAAACCAAATCCTGCAACTAATATATGCATAATTCTGCAAATGCTTGATGTTATTCTCATGCATTAAAATTTACATGATTCATGCTGCACATACTTATGAAAACAACTAAACATACTCAAATTTCTGGAGTGTGACTTATCACATCATTTGAAGGATTAAGTTCTACATTGCACCCTACGTTTCTTCACAGCAGAACTCACGTTGTTTCAAAGAACAACTTGAACACATTCCTTATTCAAAGATTTTCACATACAAAATCTTCAACCACATCCTTAGTTGGTTACAGATGGCAAAACTACATTTAAGGTCAATGACAGCCAAGCTAATCTGAGCAACAACGGGGGCACTGATGATGACAACAGAACAGCTTTTATGTATATTAAATTATTCTATATAATGGAATTGACATACAAAGAAATTCCCTATCCATAAAAATTTAGAAAAAATAATTATTTTTCTAACACATGTAAACTACAGTGCTTGTTAAGTGGTAACCGTAATTATGACAAATTTTTTTTAAAAGGCAGTTCTTAATTGAAAATAATCTGCATAGGTAATAAATACATAGCTAGTGTTCCTGTAGAAACCTAAACACAGATACAGGCAAAGTTAGAGTTACAGGGATAAGGTAAACTAGTTTACGTTACTTACAGGCTAATCTTTGTCATGACTGTTCTGGAAGCATCCAAACTCTTCAGCTTCGAGCTGTCTAAATCAGAATTTGTCTGTCTCTCAGCTGACATACACAGGTCTCCATTTTTAATCCCATCAGTACGCAAGAAAGCTCTTCCATCCGAACCACTACCATGCTTTACTGCCTTGGTCTCATTTCTGCCTTCAGCAAACACCAAGGCAGTGTCTTCTGTCTTAGTGGTCAAAGAAACTTTGGGAGACTCCAAGCTATCTTCCGCAAAAGCCACAGGTATGGTTCCCTTTTCCACCGAAGTTCTTTTTGTCACTGGGTTACTCTCTGGTGCCACTAAAGGCTGCCTTTTTGAGGAGTAATCTTTTACCTGACCCTTCAAACCAGTAGGGGAAATGGGGACAGTGTCCGACTGATTCTTTTTATACGACCTTCTTCTTGCAGGGGTTGCATTTGAGATCTGCTGCTTGCCTTTGTCAGCTTCAGTTTTAGATGCCCCTTTGTGAGCAGATCCAACTTTTAGGTCCTGATTGTTACCTGGGGCAGAGGAATTCCTTTCAGGAGTCTGTTGAGGAGACTTTGCTTTTCTTTCAGAGTTTATTATCTTGTCCGAAAACACCTCAGAAGGGACATCATCCTCAAAAACTGATTCTTCTCTTGCAGTAGTCTCAGTCTGGTTTCTCTCTCCATTTGGAATGTCACCAGATGACTGAGATTTTCTCCTTTTCCCAGACCTTTTATTAGCAGATTTTTTATCCATTGCGTCCGAGTCACTACAATTTTCTTCTGATATAACAGTCACAGGTTCATCAAGGAGTTCGTCTGTTTTTCTTAGATAGATATCAACAGTCAACACTCTAGCAGAATGTGTATGTTCACTCGTTGCAGATTCCAATTCGTGTGGCAAATCCTTTGGTTTTGCATGCCCAGGCTCCTCAGACACCCACGTGTTCACGAGTTGTTTGTGGCTTAAGATACTCTTTTCTAAGTCTTCACTAGACAAATTTCTCAAGCTTTTTATGAAATCTGGAGTTGTGGAATTATTTATATCTGTGATGGGTTCTTTCTCCAGTTCCACGGTTTCCACATTCAGGCTACTCTCAAAGAAAGAGTTTTTAATGGTTTCACTGCTGCCGCTCCAATCTGCTGACCACTCACTGTCAGAAGAGACTCCCCTACTACTCCATTCTGAAATGGTATCGCGATACAGCGGTCCTATGTCCCCGCTGAAATTATATTCCTGCGTCTCCGAAACAGCACTTACGTTTCTCACTTGCTTCTGTACTTGAGGAGCTTCGTATCCTTCCTTTATGTGCCTACAGTATATCGGCTGCGCTCTGTGAGGAGAAACTGAACTCTCCCCTTTCCGATGTGAAGTGTGTTCTAGTGAACTTTTGACATTTTTCCTTTTCCCTGTACTAAATAAATTTCCAAGTCTTTCCAAAACCGGTTTCTTTTTATTCTCTTCTCTGGAAGAATCTGTAAATTGTGAGGTGGACTATAAAAAACAAACAAACAAACAAACATTTGGTTAATGTCAAAACTGTTTCCATAATACATTTGTTTGTATTAGCATCAACTATAAATTAAAAGAACACAGTGAATGGGAATAAAACAGTTTACTGAACAATACTAGCTCTCAAAAAAGAGCAAGAAAAACAAAACCCTCAAAACCAATCAAAATCCCAAGATCTTTTTGTATGTTTCTGCCTGTGTTTGTTTACAAGAACACTCATCTTGCCTTACAATACCAGCATTATACATCCCAAATCTCAAACTTGTGCACAATTAGTTAACGTCACTCAATACAAGAAAGCATCCTGGCACCTGCAAGACTGGGGACAAACTGCTTGGTCAAAATTTTCCTTTCAAAAACACAAGTGGGGAATTTAACTTTCCTCTCCGTACTGGCTGAGTTATAGTTTTGACACTTGTGCTAGCAGAGAATACTTTTAAAGGCATAAGTTGTATTACAATTCATATATTTCTCCTTAATGAAGTCCAATAAATACTTGGCTTGTGTTTTTGGGCTAGAAAACCCAGAACTATAAATGCCACGGCATCATTCAATGAGCATTACTGGGTCAACTACTGCCCTGGTGAAGTTTTCCCTTACAACTTCTAATTAACATGGTAAACAGGAAACACGCAACACCATTGCCGAGTACACATGCATATTTGCACTTTAATATATTAGCACTTTATACATGCCGGTACGATGAATACTTGTTTTGAGATGTTTTATTTCAAAACACCGCGAGTATTTCCTACTTCGACAGAGCAGACCTCCCGAGGAGAGCAGGGTCCCTCTCGGCAGCACAGAAGCTGCTTCGGCACATTTTAAACTTTTTTTTTTTTTGCTGTAGACGCCGGG